CTTGACCTTGCCACAATCACTTGCTTCTTAATCTTCCAGGAGATCAAGTTTCCACCTACAAAGGTACACACTTCTGATGTAGACCTCCTGTCATCTAAGCATCCTGCTCAGCCTGCATCTGTATAGGATTCTAGCTTCAGATTCTCATGATTTGAGAAAAGAATGCCTCTTCCAGGGTGTTTTTTCAGATATGCAAGTATTCTCTCAATAGCTTTCCAGTGCTGAACCCGAGGTGCATGCATGTACCGACTCACAACACTGAGAACATAAGAAATATCTGGTCGTGCCATACACAAATACAATAGTCAGCCCACCATTCTTTGATATCTCCCCACATCCTTTACCAACTCACCATCCACAACATTAATTCTGTGATTTGGATCAATAGGAGTGTCTGCTGGTTTGGTCCCCAGCTTCCCAGTCTCTCACAGTAGGTCAAGTACATACTTTCTCTATGAAGTGAAGATCCCATGCTTGGATCTTGCAACTTCAATCCCTAAGAAGTATTTGAGCTCACCATTCTTTGATCTCAAATTCTTGCTGCAATGATTTTTTGAGATCATCAATCTCCTCCAGATCATTTCCTGTCACCACTATATCATCCACATAGACAATCAGAATTGACACCAGAGCATCTCTCCTCTTCACAAAGAGGGTGTGATCAGACTGTGTCTGTGTGTATCCAAAACGGTTTAGTGCCCCTCTGAACATGTCAAACCAAGCCCTAGGTGACTGTTTCAGTCCATACAGAGATTTTCTGAGTCTGCACACCTTTCCTTTACCAACATTTTCATAAAAGCCTGCTGGAATGTCCATATATACCTCCTCCTATAAATCACCATTGAGGAAAGAATTTTTGACATCAAGTGGGAACAAGGGCCATGAATAGGTGGATGCTAGAGATAAAAGGATACGAACTGAACTCATTTTAGCTACTGGTGCAAAGGTTTCCAGATAATCAACACCATAGGTYTGAGTATACCCTTTTGCTACCAACCTTGCCTTGTACCTCTCTATCTTGCCATCGGCCTTATACTTCACTGTGAATACCTATCTACATCCGATTGTCTCCTTGTCTGGGGGGAGATCAACTATTTCCCAAGTTTGTTTTTTGACCAAAGCATCTATCTCATTTTGCATGGCTGTTTTCCACTCAGGTTTGGAGAGAGCCTCAGTAACATTCCTAGGTATAGACACAAAATCCAGGGAAGAAAGAAAAGCACGGTAGGAGGGTGATAAGGCATTGTAGGAAAGATGGTGTGAAATGCAGTGGGCTGTACACTTTCTCTTCCCCTTACGAAGTGCAATGGGAAGATCAAGGTCAGTGGGATCAGTTGTAACAATGGTGTTAGGGACAAAAACATTATCATCAGAAAACATAACAGGCTCAGGCTCAAGAGGAATACTTGGAACTGTATCTGCCGAATCTGGATTTTTAGAAGGACTGACAGAGAGTGGTGTGGAGTCAACCATCATCTGCCGGCGTTGATATTTCTGTGAGGCTGCCCGTAGTGGCTCAGGTAATGAAACTAGAGGTGTAGGTGCTGGTTGAACTAATGTAGATGCTGGCTGAATTGATGGAGGCACCACAAAAATAGGAAGAGGAACAGATTATGAGTTATCCTCCCGACGAGAACTCTCTCCAAGTAGATAGATCCCGTTCGTCTCACGGCCAGTCCCAATCACCTTCCTCGTCTCCAAATCCTAAAAAACACATCGGTCAGGGAAAAAGGTTACTGAACAGTTCATGTGTTTGGTAATACTACTAACTGAAAACAGGTTAGTATCAAGCTTAGGAACATGCAAGA